ATTGTCAAATTGTTTACTATAAACTTTGTATCAATATTCTTTTCCTATCAAGAGTAAATATGAGGGGGCTGGGGGATATAGCTCAATTGGTAGAGTGCTTGCCTCCCATGCACAAGGCCCTGGGTTTAATCCCCAGCATCACACACACACACACACACACACACACACACACACACACACACACATACACACACACACACAGAGTATATATGTGTTCCTATTTCTTCACAGCTTTATTGGAAATTTATATAAATATCTGCTAACTTTAATGATTAAAAATACTGATTGCTATTTTGTTTTTCAGATTATTGTAATATAGTGAAGTTGAGAATTTTAGTAGGTTTGCTGGCTATTTTATTTTCTTTTATGTATTTTATTTTCTTTTACCTTGCCCTACTTTTCTATTGGATGCCTTTCTTTTTATTTTTTATAGGTTCATGTTAGTGCTCTTTGCCATCTCTATGTATCTGTCTCTCTGCACCTGTCGTGTGTGTGTGTGTGTGTGTGATGTGTTTGTCTGCTATTCACATCTTCCCAGTTTGCTGTCTACTTTTTTATCCTTTAATATTTAAATATTAATAATAATATTAAAATACTTTAATAATTGTTTTGTTTAATGTAGAAATTTTTTCTACATTTAAACAAGTTTGTTTTTACTTTGTGCAAACCTAAGAAGAATTTCTCTGATTGTTTGAATCTTCAGTTGATCTGACATTGGTTTTATATAATGTGAACTATCTCCTCTGCATTTGATACATTATAGGTACTATTATAAATATATAGTATGACCAAAATTCCATGTCATTTTTATATGAATCTATTTTTTATTCTTGTTTCAGTATCACACCATTTTATTACTAAGACTTTATAATTAAAGACAAATTCTCCCTAATTAACAAAAATTTCCTTGGTTGTTCTCTTGCATTTCCTCCTTTAGATATAGTTTAAGATTTATCCAATCAGACTCCAACCTCCCATACAAATACTATAGCAGGATTTCACTAGAGGTGACAGGATTCACCTGCGTTAGACAAACCATCCTGCTGAGAACTGATACAAAGGTGGATGATACATTTTTTGAAAACTCTGAAAGTTTTGGAATACTACCAACACAAGCAAGAAATATAGATGTCCAGGTAGATATATATCTTTATGAAG